GTTCACTTTTCTTATCACTATTAACCAGTGAGCCACATGACTCTGTAAAGTTTATTAAAATTTCCTCATATGGAAATTAGCAGTCTTGAAGAAATAGTGAAAACCCCCACGATCTTGAAAGAACTTTGATTTGAAAACAGTCGATATAGTTTATTATTGTAACTATAGTCATTTCTGCACAGTTTCTTTAGTCCACTGCTCCTTCTGTGTTCCCCACCAAGATGATTTACACCACCATCCATCTAAGCACCAAAATTAGAAACATGGAAATTACTCTCCATTATTTCTCCTTCTTCCCTCACATCCAAGTGGTCATCAAGTCCTGATTCCTGACATTCTACCCCTAGAACATCTCTCAAACTAACTCTCTCTTCTCCACACAGCAAGCACCCACTGCTCTAGTTCCATCCCTTAGTATTTCTTATTATTTCTCTCCTCAACCCTTGCTCCTCAGCCTTGAGTTCTTGCATCCCTCCCATCCGTCTTCCACAAGGATGCTAGGATGGCTTCTCTAAAATTCAAATCTGTGACATCACACCTCACATATGAAAATCTTTACTGACTTTAAAGTAAAATCCATACTCCTTAAACAAAGTCCTTAGCAATCTCTCCCTTACCTACTTCCCTTATCTCACAACACTTACTCATGAGCGTCATAAACTTCTGGCATTTTTTCAGTTTTATTTTTATTAGTATGCTGTGTTCTTTCATACCTCTGTGTCTTTACCCAGGCTGTTCCTTCCATCCTACTCCTTTCACAGATCTTCTCATACCCCTTCCTTGCCTGACTAATTTCTTCTTGTCCTTTAAGATTGAACTCAAAACTCTCATCCCCTGTTACTGAAATATGTGGCACCTACTGATTTCTATATATTGATTTTGTACTCTGCTACTTCTATGAATTATCGTATTTTTGTACAAATTTTAATTTGTTTTGTTTGATTTTCTGGGTATAAAATCAGATCATGTGAAAGCAGTAATACTTGATCCACTCTTTCATAGTTCATATGTCTCAATTTCTTTATCATCTCTAATTGCATTGGTCTATCACCCTCAGTACAATGTTAAGTAATAGCCATGTTAATAGATATTTCTTAATTTCCTTAAAATGCTATAGTGAATAAACATATTTTATAAGTTAAAAAAAAAAAGCCTAATTCTCTCAGAACTTATATATACATACCTGCCCCTTAAATTTGAAGAAGAAAAATAGGGGTCAGGTAGCTTTCTACTGTGCACAGTCCCACAGTATCCTGTGTATACTTTTGTTAACCTTCTTATTGCAGTGTGTTTACAGTGCTTCGCAGACTTTTCCACAGAAGTACATCCAATGGCAGAGGACATTGTATTGGACTTACAGCCTGCCTGAAATCCTACATTAATATCATGTCTAATATCTCAGCCTTAAAAAATATATAAAATTTACATTTGATTCCATTGAATGGGTGTATTTGGTTTAATATAAAAACATTTTAATTTATTTGTCCTGGAATAAAATTGATCTTTGTCAGAGATGATAATGTTTATCCTGAAATTCCAAGTGTTCATTGTAAGCTGCCCTGTTTTGTTCTCCAGGCGTCTCTGTTACCCAAGTTTGATAACTAGTAAGCACCTCAATGTCAGGGCCTAGGTCTTTTATCTCTGGATTCTCAGCATTAACTACAGTATCTGACACCCAGTAGATGTTCAATATTTATTGAAAAAATGAATGAACAAATGAATGAATGAACAAAAGTTCAGTTTCGGAATAGTAGTGTTAAATGTTAGCATTGTGAAAAATTAAAATTTTAAGTATTTTTCTTATAGAAAAAGTATGACTGACAACATTGTGAAAGTCATGCATTTTTAAAAATCATTTTCTGGCCTTATACAATGTAACAAAACTTTTTTTAAGTTTTTATAGTTAAAAGTATAAAATATACAGAAAAGATCACATAAGTATTCAGCTCAATGAATTTTCACACACTCAACAATTTCACATAACACCTATATCAAAAAACAGAACTGTATCTGCCCCTCAGGAGTCCCTCCATGCTCTTGTCTGGTCATTGCCCCCTTAACAGCATGTATTGATTCCACAAAATCATTTTATACTTGAGTACAATTCAAGACAAGTAGCAAATTGAATAGGGAATTTCTTATTCTATGATAAATGAAATTAATGATTTTAGTATTCATTATTAGTAACCAACATTACAAAATGGAAAAAGAAATAATTTTAAGTACTAATTATTTTTGGTAGTTTAATTTAGTACTAACCAGGAAACATAATTAAGATTATTTATAATGACCATATTCTTGTTATTCAACAAAAATGTTGATAATAATAAGCATTAAATAAGAATCATATTAACTGTTGTATTAATCAATAACGAGCAGTAAATTCTTTTGAGCTCTTATGTCTAATTGTCAAATTACCCTGATTTTTGTTTCACTTTCTTTTATTTGTGTAGAGTAGTAGTTCTCAACGGGAGGGAAGCCCGATATTGTCTCCCCAGGGACGTTCAGCAATATCTGGAGATATTTTTGGTTGTAATAACTAGAGGGTGCTACTGACATCTAGTGGGTACAGGCCTGGGTTGCTGCTAGACTTAATTCACAGAACACCCCCCACAAAAAAGAATTATCTGAACCAAAATGTCAGTAGTGCCGAGCTTGAGAGTAATATTTTCTAAAGAATAGGTTGGTTGTTTGTGTTTGATGCAGGTTAGTTCAAATAGGTTATACCACCATAGTAATGGAGTCCAAGGTGTTAGGAATTTAATTTCCCTAGGCACTAGTTCATCTTTCTGTAGTCTCTGCACCCCAGACCCCAACCAGATGTCTTGAACATTTCTGCTACTGATTACAAGAAGAAGGAGATAAGGCAACATAGAAGAGCTGATATAAATCCATCACCATTTCTGGAAAACATCTCAAAGCGTGGTGTTTTGTACATATTCCAAATCCAGCTCTCCCCATGTAACTAGTTCCAGTAGGTTGGAATCAGATTGTATACTTTGACTAGCAACATTGTTTAATTTTGTTATTACCTCCCTGAATTAATGGTCCACAAGCGTGAGGCAGATGGAATGGTTCCTTATGGGCAGCCGGTCATCCAGCTTCAACCACGTTTTCTTACTGTCTATTGAGAGGTGTTAAATGGAGAATACAGTAGCTGTCCACAAACCTTCATGCAAACCCAGACAGCCCTGCCTAGTCCTGTCTCTCAGTGGTTATGGGAGGTGAGAAACACTAGCGCGCGCATAAATGCTGGTAATCAAGTTGTTCTTCACGGCTGTTTTTCAGGGGGTAGTATTTTGTGTATTTCAGTGTCCCCTGTGAGCTTATTCTAGTCCTGACAAGTTGACCTACCCTGAGCAAAGAGGAGCCACATTTGAGGCTTGGCCCTAAAACATTTGCTGGTATGCAAGAAAGAATTAATAGCAACGTACACCAATTCTGACTTTCATAATAAAGTATTCTCTAAAAACATTACCTCAAAAAACACTACAACAAACCAAGATTTGTATAGTTGTAACTGTAAATCTACAAGTCCTTAAACTTATTAGAGAAGAAGGTTAGCTTAGAATTTGGCCATTTGATTCTGCTCATTTAACTGTGAAAGCAAATATAAATGAAAACATTGTGTGAAGAAAATTACTTGGGGCAATTTGAATAAAATAATCTCTATTTTGTGTTGTGGCTTGTTTGTATTATGAGAGCGTAGTTTTATTAGTATTTTTAGTCTCCCCAAGAAGAGGTAAAATATTTCATAGATCTCTAGGCCTTTTTCAGTTTTTATAGAAATTTGACATATTTGATGTTTGGGAGCATGCACATGTCATAGTGGAAAAGGCATTAACTTTCATGTCAGATCCCGGTCCTTGGACTGCTTAACTGTTATGGGCCTGCTTTACCACCCAAAAAGAAGGGACAATAGTTAAATGATAGAGTCACAAAATTAAATAAGATAATCATGTAGAAGAATGGTCAGAAGCAGGGAAGAATAAACATTGTTTGAAGTCATTGATTCATTTGTAAGTGGATTATAGTGGTCGAATACATGGTTTGGAGTCAGAGAAACAGGGTCTAGAGTCTGGCTCTGTCGTCTATTACTGGCTGTGCCCAGAGGCCAGCTGCTTTACTCTCTCAGCCTCATTTCCCTTCCTTGTAAATTGGTGCGTTTGGTAACTGTCTCATTGGATGTTATCAGGAAGGATTGAGATCATAATTGTAAGAAGCAGCCCTCAGTACCTGGCACAGGATACATACCAATAAATGAAGGTAGCGAGTCCCTCGATTATTCTGAATTCTGTCAGATAAAACGTAGTACGTAGTCCTTTTCCTCAAATAGTTTATCTGTGTGGTTGATGAGAGCCACACACTCTGTGCTAAGTCTTAAAAAATTTGGGATTGATTAAGTTCTGATACTGCATTATAGTGATAATGTTCATTTTTTTAGTTTGTTTAATAATGCTCAGTTTAATAATGATGCTAGTTAGTATAAATACTAATGATGCAAATCATATATTTGGAACAAAATTTGTTTTTAAGTACTTGATCCTTTGCTTCTACATTGCTTTATCTTTTAGAGCACTTCGTAGACTTTGTAGAGACTGAGTGGGGCAGGGCGGGGGTGGAAGCAGAGAGACCAGTGTGGAGGGTATATCACAGTGAGGTATGACAGGCACCCAGGTTAGGGTGGTGGCAGAGGCGGTGGTGAGAATATTAAAAGACAGTATTCAAGGCTCAAAATTTGATAATTTGTACTGTTTCATCAAGGATATTCCTAAGGGAAACTGGCATCATTTTTAACAGCAAGTACATGGTGGAGAAGAACACAAGAACTAATAGTATGATTTGGTGCCACTGCCTTGATTCTTGCCAAGACGCCGACAGTCTTACCCACCATTGCTGTTGCACCATCAATGCAAATGTCAACACAGTGAAATTATGCTGAATTTTAAAAAGCACTATTTCCAGTAACCAGGCTTCATCCTCCCCCCCTTTGGCTGCAGATCCTAATTATCTCATGGCTAATGAACGCATGAATCTGATGAACATGGCCAAGCTGAGTATCAAGGGCTTGATTGAATCAGCTCTGAACCTGGGGAGGACTCTGGACTCTGACTACGCACCTCTCCAGCAATTCTTCGTGGTGATGGAACACTGCCTGAAACACGGCTTGAAAGGTAGGGCATGGCCTCAAAATGCAGATGTGTATGTGGCTATTTCCTAGCAATATATGCTCAAGAAGAAGAGCATTCTTTGTGAATCCAAAGAATAAGAGGCTTGAATTAATAATATTAATTTATTCGAATGCAACCTATACGGCTGCAGGGATATGGTTGACTTAAAGGACTCATAGGTCTTAAATAACACTGATCAGGGGCCGGCCCTGTGGCGTAGCGGTTAAGTGCGCGTGCTTCGCTTTGGTGGCCCAGGGTTCACAGGTTCAGATCCCGGGTATGCACCGATGCACCACTTGTCAAGCCATGCTATGGCGGTGTCCCATATAAAAGGTAGAGGAAGATGGGCACGGATGTTAGCCCAGGGCCAGTCTTCTCAGCAAAAAGGAGGATTGGTGACAGATGTTAGCTCAGGGCTAATCTTCCTCACAAGAAAAAAAAAAAACACTGATCGTTAAACGCTAGAGCTGGAAGGGCCATTACAAGTATCTAGTCCAATATGGCAGTTCTATTTGACAGTTGGAAACAGGCCTGGAATGGGACGTGACTTGCCCAAGGTCACACAATGAGTAGGAGCAGAGCAAATGCTAGAGCTCAGATCTCCTGACTCTTGCTTCCGTATTCTTCCCACTTAACCATAAGCTTTTGAGGGCAGGACCTGGTCTTGTTGGCCTTGCTTCTTTTCCTCCTCCCTCCCCAATATTTGATAGCCTATTTCTGGATTACATATTCTTTTCCATTGGATTGTTTTCTTCACTAAAACCACACGGCTTTAAGTACTGTATTTTTAAAATGTTTTATGATATTATAGGGCTAGTCCATAAATTCTTCCTGAAAGAGAAAGGACTGAGTCTTGGGAAGTAGGGTATTTTTGGTTTTCACAAAACGTTATCTATTCTGAAAGCATGAATAATTTTAGAAGTTTCTCATAATGTAGGATTAGTTCCCTGAAAAGAGCAATGAATAAATGGGAGAGGTTGTGTGTGTGTGTGTGTGTGTGTGTGTGTGTGTGTGTGTGTGTTGAGGGCATGTTTATGTTGTAAAGAATATTAAAATATTGCTTTATTTTTATCACCTTAGCTAAGAAAACTTTTCTTGGACAAAATAAATCCTTCTGGGGGCCTCTAGAACTCGTAGAAAAGCTGGTTCCAGAAGCTACAGAGATAACAGCAAGTGTTAAAGATCTTCCAGGACTAAAGTAAGTTTAAGGTTGAGTTCTGTTTGTCAGGGAAAACGTTCTTACTAACTATCTCCTTGAAGAGTGAGACTAAAGACAATGATGATCATAATAATTTATTTCATCACAATCTAAAATGCATAATGTTGTTGTGAATAGGCACTGTTATGAGAGAACTGGTAATGTAGAGTATTAAGAGAAGTCTGCCTATGAGTGATAATTATTATTAATCTAAGAGAGGTGGTCTTCTTGTTAAAATACCAAACATTTCCTTATTTTTTTTTAAAGCACTTGTGGAAATCAATGAGTCTCAAGAGTTTAGATCTAAGGATGTGGCATGCTGGACTTGACTTAAGAAAAAGAGTGTGTTCAATGGAGTTTGAAAAGCAAGATTAAAACAGTTGTTCAGTGAACTTCAAGAATTGACACCTAGAACTTGCCTTAGAACTTGAAAGAGAGTAATAATCACCATCCCAAATTAGAATGGTTTAATTTTAATCAGATAGAGATCTAAGTGGCCTGTGTCTGCATTATTTTTATTTGGGTGCTTATGTGATCCACACTAAATTTATGAGGATTTATCGTTACTAATCTGATGGAACATTTTTAGTTGGGCCTCCCAGAGATCTTGTATTCAAATTGTAGTCTCATTCAGTAATTAATTCTTCACAAGAGCATTTGTCTCAAACCACCCTCTGGATCCCACTAGCCCACACAGAATTCCTTCCATAAGAATGTGATGGGAGAAGTTATGAGGAGCACCTCAGTGTGCATGTTATACTAGGGGACCATTAGCAAGAGTAAGTGAATCTGTCCCACTGTGGCCCCTATCTCTGCTACTTTTAGTTGTTTGGTTTCTTTATTTTTGTAGGACACCAGTAGGCAGAGGAAGAGCCTGGCTTCGTTTGGCATTAATGCAAAAGAAACTTTCAGAATATATGAAAGCTTTGATCAATAAGAAGGAACTTCTCAGGTATGAACATCTTGTTGAGCTTTTTTCTTTTCCTACTACGTTGTACATCATATGAAGTCAAATCATATAAATTTACCATTTTGTAGATCAAAAACAGTTGAATCATGACAGTTTCACATAGTTCAACTAATACCTTCTCCCCCACCTGACACATGCTCAAGAATAGATGTTTTCATATTACATGTGTTCAGTGTATCACTGTGACATATACATAGTCTTTTGCAGGGCAGGCCAAAACTTAACATCTCCAGAAAACAGGAAAGGCTTTTGACACCTTAGCATGTATGCAGGCTCAGTAAGACAGGAAGTTGACTTGTAACATTAAATTCAAATACAGCACACAGAAAAAATTTCCAGATGGATCATAGATACAAATGGGAGTGACAAAACAATAAAACTTTTAGAAGAAAACATAAGATAGACAAAAATTTCTGAAATAGTACACAAAAAGTTGCACCTGTAAAGGAAAAAAATGGGTAAATTGGTCTACATTAGATGAAGAACTTTGTTCATCAAAAGACACTCTTAAGAGGCCAGCCCCACGGCATAGTTTGGGGTCCATGGTTGAGTTTGATGTGCTCCACTTCGGCAGCCCAGGTTCACGGGTTTGGATCCCGAGCATGGACCTACCCCACTCATCAGCCATGCTGTGGTGGTGACCCACATACAAAACAGAGGAAGACTGGCATAGGTGTTAGCTCAGGGCCAATCTTCCTCAACAACAACAACAACAAAAAAGACACTCTTAAGATTAAGAGTAAAAGGTAACGCATCGAGTGAAAGGGGAGATTTGTAATACATAATACATATATTCAACAAATGATGCATATTCAAGGTATGTAAAGAACTCCTTCAAACCAATGAGAAAAAGGCATACAAGCAAATATAAAAATAGGTAAAGGACTTGAACAGGAATTTCACAAAAGAGAAAATTGAAATGACTAGTAAACATATAAACAGATACCTGACTTCACTACCCATCATGTAAATGCAAATTAGAACAATAATGTGATGCCACTGCACACCCACCAAAATGGCTGAAATGAAAAAGACAGATAATACCTAGTGTTGGTGAGGCTATGAAGTAACTTTAATGTTCTGTTGATGGGAAAGTTAATTGATACAGAAACTTAGGAAAACTGTCATTGTCTGTTAAAGCTGATTATAAGCATACCTTATGACACAATGATTCTACTTCTAGTTGTTATATCCAATAAAAATGTATAGTAAAGTTCCACAAAAGACGTGAACAAGAAATTTCCTAGCTATTACAATGTTTGTAATAGCCCCAGATGTTTGTAATAGACCCCAAGTAATAGACCCCAAGTGTCTACTCACAGTAGAATGGATAAGTAAATTGTGGTATATTCATACAATGAAATACCATATAGCAACTACACATAGCAACGCGGATCAAGCTCATAAGTGTAATGTTGGGTAAAAGAAACCAGACACGAAAAATACATTGTGTATTGTTCCATTTATGTAAAGTTCAGAAACATATAAAACAAATCTTTCAGGATGGAAATCAGGAAAGAGGCTCCCGTTGACGGGGCAGGGGTAGGAGTAGAAGGGAGCACAAGGTGGCTTTTGAGGTTCTAGTATTGTACTGTTTCTTAATCTGGGTGCTGGTTACCTGAGTGTCTTCTCTTTCTGAACATGCATCTAGCTGTATTGTGTGATTTGTGTGCTTTTCTATGTATACTTTATAGATCATTAATATTTACCAAAAGAAACTCAAGTATGGCAGATTGCCTCTAAGAAATAGTATAAGTAGGAGAACAAGTAACAGAATTTAAAGACGTAGCTGGATTTCACAAGAACCTAGTTTTTACAAGAAATTGCCCCGCAGATCCTAATATGAAGCATTGTTTAATGTTGCTGCAGCTATGTGTGCCACTGATTGCTGTTTTCTTACAAATCAATAGAAAGAGAAATAAGAACCGTTCAGGGGAGCTTATTTATTTCCACAAAGGGAGGGCTCAACTTTCCAAGGGTCAAGCCGTGAAGTGGTATAGGGTCTAGTGTCTAAGCTGTAGGTGCTGTAGGGCTGTAGGTGGCTGTAATTTTGATGAAAATTGCCTGATTCGAATTGGGATGTGAAGAATTAGCTCTTTGTCCAGCAGAGCACCAGAGTAAATGGGTTCAGTCTCGTGAACTGGGCAGAGTTCACTTCCTTATACGTAGCTTCACTCACTTTGACCCAGCAATTTCACACCTAGGTATGTCTGACAGAAATGCATTTGTATATGTACCAAAAACCACATGCAGTAGTGTTCACTGTAGCCTGCACAGCTGAAACCGTAAATAGGATGGATACAATTGTGGTATATTCCTACCATGGAATACTGGCTATCAAGGAACAAAAATAGCATGTGGGCAGTTATTGAGAGAGTAAATTTGCAGATTATTCGTGTGCTGTTTTTGAACTGTTTTACATTTGTTAATATTTTTTACAATCAAAAAAGAAAGAAGAAACTCTTATCAATGAATTGTATTGATTGTTACCAATGATTGAGGTTGACCATGAACAGTCCCAAGTGACTTTGTTGAAAACAAATAGATTGCAGTGATGTTTCAGTCACGATGTCAAATTGGTTGAAAATAAATAATTTAAAGTCACTGGGTTTTTGTTTATTGATAATTTGGGTGCATCATGAAACAGTATTTAATCATCTGTGGGTCTTCTAGAATTTGTATCTATTCACAATTATTCAAGTACTTTGTTTCTCTTTTGCTTTTTTATTTCTCAGTCATTTTCAGCCTGTTAGGCCTGGCCGGTGGAATTTGTCATGGTAAAAAGCTAAATACAGCCTAACAGTTCATCAGAGAGCAGTTGGCTAAGGAAAAGGAAGCTTTGGCTAAATACGTTTATACTACATTCATACAGTGGGATGTTGTAAAACCAGTATAAATGAAGCTGCAGAAAATTACGTGTTGAAATAGAAAGATAATCACAATATTGTTAAGCCGAAAAAAGAAATTCAAGATAATGTTAATGATATAATGCCTTTTTAGTATTCCTCAAAAATATGTATATGTCTCCATAAATGATCTGAAAGGTTATATGTCAAGATCTTAACAGGTCATTGGTGGGTAGAATTATAGGGTTTCTTGTGTGCTTCTTTTTTTTTTTTTCCCCTGTAATGAAAACTGACTTTATTAAACAATAAAAGATAATGATCCCTTAAACATTTTAAATCATTTTTAACCTATTATACATGTTGCTTGTAAGGCAACTTTTGCTAATTAGTCAAAAATGAATATACGTAATTCAACAGATCACATTGTTAAAATGTTTATTCATTACATTAAAGGAATGTGGTACTTAATTAGAATTAAAAATAAAAGCAGATCAGAAAAAAATCAAATTTTTAAAAACAAACCAAATGATTTCTTAAGATGCATAAAAGATTGAAAAATTATCCCGTGGTGCATCACAGATACAAATATGTGGGAAAAGCATGAATACTCTCTTCAATGAAAATATCGTTCTGATCACTTTTCTTTCAGCTGGACTGTCTATTATTCATGCACCTATTATCTAAAATAAAGTATGTATCCAAGCCACCCCTTTTTTTACTTTTTCGCTAATTTCATAGACGACCATATTCAACTGCGAGGCAAGCATTTTTCTCCTTGTCTCATGATTACATCGTTGGATTCTTGGGGTTTTATTACAACAGAGCATTCCATGGATTTCTCTTACAGCGAATTCTATGAACCCAACGCCCTCATGATGGAAGAAGAAGGAGCCATAATTGCTGGTCTGTTGGTGGGTCTGAATGTCATTGATGCCAATTTCTGTATGAAAGGAGAAGACTTGGACTCGCAGGTATGAGAAAGATACTCAGTTACCAAGTGTGTCACTTGGAGTTGTATCATCTCAGAATTTGGATTGACCAGATTATACCAACCCAATTAGGGGAAATTCTGTGTCATAAATAGGATTTTCTTTCATTTTGATGTGAATATAAAAATTTAGTTTGTTTTTCCTTCCAACTTGGCTCATTTATGCATTAGGGATGTTTTTCAGCAGGCTAAGATGTGTACACAGGCTGAATACTAAAAGCCAGTGTGGCGTGTAGTTGAGTGAGGCTCTGAAGCCAAACTGTTTAGGTTCAGATTCTGGCTTCTTCATTTTCTAGCAGAATATATTTTGTAATTACTTAGCTTCTGGATGCTTCAGATTCCTTATCTGTAGTGCAGGGATAAAAAAGAGTATCTGTATCTACTTCATAGGATTATTGTGAGGAAGAAAGGATTTAGTACATGTAATGTACTTAAAACAGGGCCTGGCACCTGTTAATTGCCCAATAAATACAGCTGTTGCTTTCACTGTGACTATTTCTCACCCCTTCTATATGAAATACTATGACCAATTTCTGTTACATTTTACTCTGAGAAAATGGGAAAGGAAGTACGATATTTCGATCTGTATTTTTAAAAAGAAATAAGCTAAATAATAAAATAGCAATCTTGAGAAATTTAGACATATGCATCAATGAAAGTTTGGAAGAATAGATACAAAATGTCACAGTGGTCATCTTTGGGTAGTTGGGATTATGGGTGTTTTGCTTCATTTTGTTTATCTGTATTTTTTAAACCTCTATAAAGGAATGTGCATTATTTTTGTAATTATAATTTTTAAAAGTTATTCCTAAAAGTGAATAGGGGTTCAGTAGCAGAATACTTAAAATAAGCAAAAGAGAAAGAAACTTTAAACCTTAAATTTATGTTAAGTATTCTGTTGACTTTCTTAGTCTTCATCCAGTCTTCTAGTCCTATTGACTTAGTCTTGATTCTTTACTTACTTACAACGCTTGTCAATTCTTGGTTATAATAAAAGTAAAACATTATTTTCATCAACAATTTCTCCTAATGGTCATGACTATTTTACGATTTTGAGTGCGTAGAAAGAGACATTGTGTTATATCTTGAAAAAAGTATCTACTTTTATATTAAATTCTGAAAATTCTCTTGTAGGTTGGAGTTATAGATTTTTCAATGTATCTCAAGGATGGGAACAGCAGTAAAGGTAGTGAAGGGTATGTACAAAGAAAGTTAGGTTTCTTTTTTCTTTAATGTGCTTCAATAGGATTTAAAGTTTACAACAATACTGCTTTAACAGACTTGCTGAAAGATTTCTGATGATATAGCTTTAATAGAGTCTTGCCAAAAATATCTGACTATTGTGTCTGCTAAACCCTAAAAGGGGTTTTAGTTAACTGTAATCTTCCTGCTCTGTGGTTCAGGGGCAAACAAAATAAAAAACTTTAAAAAAGGAATGCAGGGCCGGCCCCGTGGCTTAGCGGTTAAGTGCATGCGCTCCGCTGCCGGCGGCCCGGGTTCGGATCCCGGGTGAGCACCGAGGCACCACTCCTCCAGCCATGCTGAGGCCGCGTCCCACATACAGCAACTAGAAGGATGTGCAGTTATGACAGACAACTATGTACTGGGGCTTTGGGGGAAAAATAAATAAATAAAATCTTTAAAAAAAAAAAAAAAAGTAACAGAATTTAAACCATCTCTTAAAGTAGTGTTTGAAGACGTGGTTTCCTGACCAGAAGGACTGCATGCTCACTTTGTTTAAAATTTGAACTATTAAATATGCATCATGGGATCATGTAAATGTTAACATTACGGGAACCTGAGTGAAGAGCATATGATAACTCTGCACTACTTTTACAACTCTTGTAAATCTAAACTTATTTCAAAATAAAAATGTTTTAAAATATTCATTTGGTACTTAGAAATTAGAGATCAGAAGTGCACCTTTGCCTTTTGTAAATTTAGCAGTTGAAAGCATAATTAGTCTGAAGTTTTTAACCTTGGATATTGAGCTAAAATTATATCACTTGTTCTTTAAGTAGTTGTAGAGGTATGTGGCCTTGATTTTGTCTTTCGGTTGAAAAGTCTGGCTGTTTGACTTTTGCCTGTTATAGATGAGTTGGTTCCAGAAGTGAACCTCCTGTTTCCACACTTTATTTTCTCACGTGATAATAAACACTTGATCTTTCTGAAAGCCTTTTATACCATTCACTTGGAGATATAAATAACATTTAAAGGCAAATATATAGCCTTAGAGAATAACTATTATTATACCACAATAAGCTTAATTCAATTCCTATGACAAATGGAAATTTATTATTATAAATAATACCAGCTAAGCTAAAAAATCTATCAATTGCAAGAAGAAAAATTTTATTCTTTAAATGCCTCTGATAGATTGTAATGTTATACCTACAACCTGAGTTATTAAAGTGTGTATGCTATAACAAGGGCTTTATTAATATGAGTTTTTGGTTTTTTGGGGGTTTTTTTGTTTTTTTTCATTTTTAAACCTCTGAGTCTTTCTTGTTGATATGTCGAGGGGATTATACATCAGGTCTGTCTTCTGGTTCAGTGTATCTATGCCACAATTTCCTTTCTATGTTTTATGAAAAGATTGGGGGAGGAATCTTGGTATTTCTAATGTTATTTTATTTCTATTTTCTCTTTTTTTTCCCCCTCCCCCCAGAGATGGCCAGATTACTGCAATTCTGGACCAGAAGAACTATGTAGAAGAACTCAACAGACATCTGAAGTAAAGAATGAATAAATGCTATTACTTTAGTGGGGCTTTTGTTGTGGGGGAAGGGAAGGGTAAATTGATGAGCAGTGAGGATAAATTCAGACAGTATTCAACAAATATACATAGAATTCCTGCTTGCCAGGTGCAAGCTAGGCACTGGATAAATGACATTTAACTGTTTTGGTGACCTTTAGTGAAAGGCAGTATAAGGTTAGTATGTAATTATAACTCTAGTGATTAAATAAATAAGTGAAGAATTCTTCAATATGTGACATATATAGTTGAAATTGGCAGGCCTCTTGGTTCTGTAGATCCAGCCACATATTTCAAGACTAATCTTGAGTAAACAACTTACTGCCTTAGTGTCTTTAGATTAGTTATATCTTGTTGGTCCCTTGCATTTCTCATTTATACATTGAATTGATAGTATTAATTTACCCTCTCTTTGCCATCACTACCATTAATTTACCAAGCACTAAGTATTTTTTAGAACTGTGCAGAACAAAAAGCAATCTTCTCTTTCCTGAGGAGAGCCATCCAAATTCTATTGGTATTCTCAAGTACATTGATGTTCTCGTTATGCTAAAGACTGTTGAATGACTCAGAAGAATTAATGTGTTCATTAATTATTACCTTGTTTATAGTTCTCTTGTAAATATTATCATTTTAAGTAAGACCTACAATATGATTATATCGATATCAGTATCAATTTTGAGTAATCTTAGTTCCAGCTAGAAAATTCAGGAACAATTTAAGTACATTTTTTCTGGGGATGGAAAACTAATAATGACTACCATGAACTATGGAGATGTTAGTGAGGCAAAGATATGGTTACAGTTGACAATGAAATATAAACATGACTCTATTATTTATTCTTTTCATGCCTCAAGTTTCTCTATCTGTGATTGGGGATACCTAATGCATAGGGTTGTGAAAGGAGTAAATGAAATAATGGAAGTAAAATAATTTAGAAGAGTGCTTGCTGTATGGCAAGGCTTAATTCATGTAGCTTATTATATACAAGTAAACCTTACAGTTTACTGTGTAGCATATGAGCTCTTTTATTTCATTCAACCAATGCTTATTAAATACAAACTTCAGTGCCAAGGATGTAACTGTTAAGAACCAGGCCCTTGTAAGCTGTCTTAGAACCTGCAAGTCTGTCAAGAATTGTGGACATTAGACCAGGAATGATAAGTGTGATGGGTGTTTAAATGGAGAGTACAGATATTGTTCTGTTTTTCAAAGGAAACCATTATGTTTTTTGTTCTCTTGTTAGTGCTACTGTAAACAACCTTCAGGCAAAAGTGGATGCATTAGAAAAATCCAACACTAAACTGACAGAGGAGGTAAATGTTTTAGAAATTATTTGATTGACACAGAATTTAATAATGTGCATTAGTGGAACCAATAATTTCTATGGAACATGGGAAATAAAGGACTTGACTTTTCAGATAATATCTACTATAGGGCATAATTCCTTGTTCTGACTGAGAATGGCCAGCTGGCTTATTTCAGGGATCTCAGTTATCCAGTTGGACTATGTAGGCATAGAACCTGGGCTGCTAAATATCTTGCTTTCTTTTGTGTGAATGTTTTATCTGGGTTAGCCTAGAGTTAATATTTAGCATATAGCATGATTATTCGTTCAGCAAGCATTTTGGGTACTACTTATGTGCTAGAGCTAGACATAGATTTCTACATGCCGGGCATTGATTTATGAATGCCAGATTGGCAAGCTCCCCACCACCACGGGTCTTATTTTCCTCTTGTGGGGGGTGGGGTAGATAACGTAAAGAGCACTGGTCAGAAGACCAGTATTCCCTGTTCACATGTCATGTGCTCCTGAGCAAGTAAGTCACTTGACCTCCAAGAGGCCCAGTTCCCTCACTGGCAGATGAGGGTGTTTATACTTCCCCTTACAGCTTCACAATTACTCTGAAGATCAGATGAAAGTATATACGTGAAAACTCTTGGAAAAGCCCCTAAAATAAGAATAAAATTTAACCTCATGTTTTACTTCTGATTAGTAGAGATATTTTTTTCGTAACTTGCCAAAGGCTAAGCTACATATTTTTTTCTTCAATGGCATTAGATGTTTCTATGAAAAATCTTAAATAAAATTTTCTACGTGGCAGAGACTTTGTTTATCCTCTCTATTTCTAATTATTACTCGCCTGTCACATTTGTTGTTAGTGCCCATTCCAACTCCTAGGGACCCTGTGTACAGCAGAGCAGAACCTTGCCTGGTCTTTTTGCACCATCCTCTCACCTTCCAGGGCTATATCAGACCATGCTCTGCTGCTATTCATAGGGTTTTCATGGCCATTTTTTTCAGAAGTGGGTGGCCAGGTCCTTCTTGCTAATCTCTCTAGTCTGGAAGCTCTGCTGAAACCTGTCCACCGTGGGTGACCCTGCTGGTATTTGAAATACCGGTAGCCTAGCTTTCAGCAACACAGCAACACACAGCCACCACAATACAATAATCGACAGATGGGTGGTGTGGTTTCCTGACTAGGATGTCAACCCGGGCTGTGGTGGTGAGAGCGCTGAATCTTAACCACTAGACCACCAGGGCTGGCTATCCTGTTACATACAGGGAGATAAATTTGGTTTAAATAAAACCAAGTTAAAGCACTAGTCAGGAAGATGCTGTTTAATCGGTTTTGCATCAGAATGAACATTTTCATTGTTTTAACTTTAAAACACCTTCCTTATTACTCAGCTCTGTGGGCTTCATTTTTGGATATAGATTCTTAAATTGTATTAAAACTTTAATTTATGGATATGATCCTTAGAATTTTATCCTACAAGCCTTTTGAAATATCCTGTGTGGAAATTTTCTCCTGTGATTCCGCTGCTCCTGCGTTGAGGCAATGTGGCATAGCAATTAATCATGGTCTCTGAGTAGACTGCTTGGGTTCACGTCCTGGCTCTGACGCTCACTAGCTTTCTAATCCTCGGCCAGTAACTTCATCTTCTATTCTTTGGTTTACTTATCTGTAAAATGGGGATGATAAGAATAATAATAAATGGAGCTGGCCCGGTGGCACAAGCGGTTAAGTGCACACGCTCCACTGCGGCGGCCCGGGGTTCACTGGTTCCTATCCCGGGTGCGCACCGACGCACCGCTTGGCAAGCCATGCTGTGGTGGCGTCCCATATAAAGTGAAGGAAGATGGGCACGAATGTTAGCCCAGGGCCAGTCTTCCTCGGCAAAAAAAAAAAAAAAAGAGGAAGATTGGCAGATGTTAGCACAGGGCTGATCTCCTCACAAAAAAAAAAAATAATAATAATAAGGTTTTTGTGTGAATTAAATGACTTAATACATATAGGCCTAGACCAGTGCCTGACACATTGTAAGCACTCAATAAATGTAGTTGTTGATTTTATTCCCTCAGTCACAAGACTTGTCTTCCTCACCTAGATTCATTTTACTAACAATATTAACTTATTCATTCATTTACTTATTTATTTTACCAGTAACATTTATTTTCAGGAAACTTTGAACTTTTAGAGTAGGCACTGGGTATAGGCTTTATAAAGAGCAGATAAAGCTAATCAGGTCTGTCTTTTCTCATTTCCATCTATTTTGGATTTAAAAGGGCCAGTAAAAAAATAATAGACCTCTTTTCCCCTCCTGAGTTCTGAACCAATATGACAAAATGAGCAGATGAAGATCTACAAATATCCACATTGTTATTGGTAAAGCTGAATTAGAAAGCCCACTTGGATCTCAGTCATTGTTTCCTGAAACTTTCTCTGATGTTGGGATCTCAGAGTAGGCTGTCTGAGGGTGCACTTGGATCTAGAGAGCAGAGCCACTTGCCCAGAGTTACTTCTTTACACATTATTAGGCCCATGGAGCAGACGTGCCTCTAGAAAGCGTGCCTGAGCCCTAGCTCCTCTGTACTTGCACGTTAGAACAGGAAGCACGCAGAACCTGCACCTGCTGGCAGTGAGGAGATGGTAAAAAGGGAGACCAGCCCGGCTGAGAGGAGCCCACTCAGTTCCTGTCCCAGCCTCATTCAGGCATCTTCACATTCTCTGTGGGGAATTGAGTTCAGTAGGTGCAGAGAAGGAAACAGTGTTTCCACTTTACTTTTCTCTCCTGTGGAATGGAGATACAAAGGTTTCCCCTTAGCAATATACTGCTAATAACATTACCTTATCTTTTTAGGTGCTCAAATGAAAAATCTCTTCAGTGCTTAATGACATCCTTTAGAATGAGAACTTTGGAGTTCATTTCTTGACTCTTAAAAATCATCTATAGGGTGGCTGGCCCGGTGGCATAGTGGTTAATTTCGCACTCTACTTCGGTGGCCCGGGGTTCACAGGTTCAAATCCCAGGTTCAGACCTATGCACCACTCATCAAGCCATGCTGTAGCAGCATCCCACATACAAAATAAAGGGCGATGGGTACGGATGTTAGCTCAGGGCCAATCTTCCTCACCAAAAAAAAAAAAAAAAAAAAACCTTCTATAAAATCTCTTATGGAGGGTTCGTAAGGTGGCTCCCAAGGCAAGGTGACTTCTTGAATGTTTTAGAAATAGGTATTGTAACTAAATATAACTACAAGTTATCCATGAGGACACCCTTGAAGTAAACTAGTTAACATTTTGGTAATGAAAAAATGTTTACATAAAAAGCAACAATAGGAGATATTTTTTATTTGTATCTAACCTACTTTAAAAATATTTCTCCTAGGTTCCCTATAGGAACATTTTTATGGAGTTATGATTAGCTTTCTTTCTTTCTAAGAATATCTAAGCCTGAAAATCATGTCCTAGCAGACCATGAATTATCTTATCCTGTGTTAATAAAAGAAAGATAAAAGATTATCTTTTAAATTTTTCAACAGCTTGCAGTTGCAAACAACAGGATTATTACCTTGCAAGAAGAAATGGAACGAGTTAAAGAGGAAAGCTCCTACATATTGGAATCCAATCGGAAGGTTAATCTTACTGGATTTACAAAATATTCCTAGAGAGCGTGTCAGTGTGTTAGCAGTGGATGGAGCCTCTAGTACTATTTGGAAGCAGCAAGTATTTGCATATGTCAAGCCCACTGTTTTTACTGGACTCTGTGCAAAATGGAGTGAATGATGAAGCTTGTGGGTGGGCGATGCTCCTTCTACAGATGCTGCTTGGCTTTACTGCCATCTACATCTGTTTAGAGATTTCAAGAAACAGTCTAATTCAGTTTCTTGTTTTTATATACTAATGATTTATACTGTGTTTAAGTGTTATATTTGTTATATTAAATATGCCACTATTTTTAGACCATGTTACTGTTTTGTAAGAAGTGTTTATCTGATACCACTGGGAAAGAGTTACCATATAAATGAATTTTCTAGATAATTTAACCCTTAAAGTACCAAACTTTTTATATTTGTCTAAACAGATATTTTGCAAACCTTTGATGTATTGCACTATTCAAGACTTCTTAAGTAGAGGATATAATTTAACACAGTTACACTTTTATGATGACTGAAGATCATAATATCAACATTGGCAGTTCTGTACTAAATTAATGGTGCTGCTTTAGGGGGCTATTAAAATTGATAGAGCTTCTAGCACCTAGACTTAAATATTCCCAGATTGCTGTGGGTGGTTTTTTCTGCCTTTTATGATTTCATTGGCATCTCTTACTGCTGTTAGTATTGCCATATCTAGAAAGCTCTCCTCCCTTTTATTCTGATGCTTCTAACCTACTGTGACCTAGGAATCCAGTTTTCCACCGTTATTAAAATTGTTGCTGAAGAGTAACTAGGCTCTGAATGGAGGCTAAAGTAGCTTTCTATGAGTAACATATTTGATTTTAATGCATGGACTTTGTGAAAACTGTGACTGCTCAGAAGAGTTTTCCGATGACCTACTTATTTTTAGCTGTGATCTCTCTGGATGGTTGGACACACCAGATGTGAGAGCTCTGGGGAAGGAATATATTACCATTTGAACCTTTGGCCCAATTCATAGTTTACAGTGAATGCTATTTTGTTTTTGGAGGCTGACTTTTAAGAGTTCTGCCGCTTGGTTTGGTAAACTCTCTTAGAACTTGAAACAAAATGGCAGGAAATCCCCAATTCAGCTTAAGAATTTTTATTTACTAAACCTCTTCCATTTCTTTGTTGTCTTCATTCATTGTTATACCTGCTTAGGTATGATCATTTTTTCTTTCTAAATAGCAGTGCTAGTGTCAGCTAACTGTATAGATTCTTTAAATCCTTAAATATGTACTGTTTTATTTATCTTCAAGGGTCCTAAGCAAGACAGAACTTCGGAAGGGCAAGCACTAAGTGAAGCAAGAAAGCATTTAAAGGAGGAGACACAATTACGACTGGTAAACTTTGCTTACGTTCTCATAGTTCAGGAACACATTAAACATAACGGCCTACTTAGGAGCTTCATCTTACAGACTAAGATCAGGAATATCAGTAGTGTTCTAAAAAATTTTTATGGATCCTATAAAGCTGCTTCTCACTCTTTTTAACCCACATGCCCTATAATCCTTTCTCAATCTATTTTCTGAGTCTTCTCAACAGCCAGTAGGATTTTGCCAATCTTTATTTTTTTACTTTTATAGTTTGTATTGCAGAAACATTAGGTATATGGAGCCTACTTTTTAAAACTATGCGATCCCCCGACCTCAATCCTCACCCCTGCAAAGATTCTGATTTGTCTCCTAGGAGAGGGGAGCTCCTCTTCTCCTTACTAAGAATCATTAATGTAGAATTGTTCTCTTTTACTTTTAGCTGTTATTTCTGAATTTATTCTTGTTCTTATACATAAAAGGAAAAAGGTGTCATCATATTAGTCTTAGATATTTTTAGAAATTAAATATATATATGTGCATGTATAATAATAAATAATGCTCCTGTTAATAGATTTTATCCAAGTATTAGTATATTAATACACCCCTGGTATTAGTATATTAACTCTTCCTGCAATTTAGATAGTAGGACAAACAAAAGGATTCTCTCCAACAGTGTCTCTAAAAATAGGAGAAGCCTGAAAATAAGGGGCGACCTGATTTGTACTAAAAATCATCACAAACTAACACTGTGTAGAACAGAATTTCAGGTTTCCTGAGAAAACAACAGTTATTTTAATATCCTTGAAATAATTACCATTTTCCTTCTATGTGTTTGTGAATTAGATCTCAAAATACTTTCCATAGGGAAAGTCCTAGAAATAGTTCATGTCAACATTTTAAAAAGCAGTCTGATCCATTTTCTCTCATGCTAACCCTGTCAGAGGAGTGCCTCAGTTAAGCGGCACGTGACACAAAATTTTCCACATCCTTGTATCACAATAAGATAAATGTTTGTTTAAAAAGGAATGAAACCAAGCAAGTAGGCAAGGTCCTGGGTGTGCCCTGGGCACAGCATGGATGCACAAGAACCTCAGGTCTTTGTATCTTTGATCATCCAAATAATTTTGCAGTAATAATGGTTGAAACAAAAAGGGGTTTCATGTTAAGTGAATATAAAAATTCAGTTAGCCGTATTGACCTTCCCAGTAATTAAGATGTTACCCTGGGGGGCCGGCCCCATGGCTTAGTGGTTAAGTGCGCACGCTTCGTTACTGGCAGCCCAGGTTCAGATTCCGGGCGCGCACGATGCACCGCTTCTCTGGCCATGCTGAGGCCGCATCCCACATACAGCAACTAGAAGGATGTGCAACTATGACATACAACTATCTACTGGGGCTTTGGGGAGAAAGAAAGGAGGAGGATTGGCAATAGATGTTAGCTCAGAGCCGGTCTTCCTCAGCAAAAAGAGGAGGATTAGCATGGATGTTAGCTCAGGGCTGATCTTCCTCACAAAAATTAAAAAAAAAAAAAAAAAAGATGTTACCCTGGGGACCCAGAGTATCTTTTGGATTCCTTGGGCTCTTGATTATGTCAACAGCATCCAAATTGAAGAAAATTGAAACTGCTTCATTTTGTGCTGGCTACAGTAACGCTTTATATATATTTCTATAGTAGTCATGACATCAATTGTCTGTCTTAATACCTAACAAAGTGCCTCAAATATGTGCATATTTTAGACATATTAAATAGCACCATCTTTGGCCTACTGAGTTTTTCAGATTTGTAAATTACTGAGTAAATGTTACCATAATTATCCTAATTATTATTATTGTTAAATGTCTCTGCATTGGATGATAGCTTATAGCTATTTTGCAAGACTATCCAGACCTGAGAGTTTTGGTCTACCTTCTCTATGGAATTTTTTTTTTTTTAATCTTTTTTTGGAGGGAGAAAATATTTTCTTTTTTGTTTTTTATTGAGGTAACATTGGTTTATAACATTATATAAATTTCAGATGTACATCATTATATTTCGATTACTGTGTAGACTACATTATGTTTACCACCCAAAGACTAATTAGCGTCCATCACCATACACATGTGCCCTGTCACCCGTTTCGCCCTCCTCCCTCCCCCCTTCCCCTCTGTAACCACCAGTCCAAACTCGGCATCTGTGTGTTTGGTGGTAGTGGTGGTGGTGGTTGTTTCTTGTGGAATTTTATGGTTTTGTACTTAGTAGAGGAAACAGAGAGTAAGCGATTTATTTACCTTTGGGGGGCAGGATGTTGAAAAAGAACTGGAGATTCAGATCAGCATGAGACAGGAGATGGAATTGGCTATGAAGATGCTGGAGAAAGACGTCTGTGAGAAGCAGGATGCCCTGGTGTCTCTGCGGCAGCAGCTGGATGATCTCAGGGCTCTCAAGCATGAACTTGCCTTTAAGCTGCAGGTAGGGCAAATATGAGGAACAGGCTCACTGGCTCTCAAGTCCCAGGGCTTCTCTCTGCCCCTCTCGTTCTAGCTGCCAATAAACTGCTTTAGGAATCAGACCATCATAAGATCCTGTGTTGCTGTTCTGGAAAGCCATGGCCACTTTTCAAATAGTAATGGGGAAAGGGGGTCTTTATTATCCTATAAGTCAATTTCTACTCTCCAGCCTAACCTGCCAACTGAGATATATATCCCATTAGCTTTTATACTGGAATAAGATAAATTGATGAACCTTCTGATGTTGATTTTTGTGACAAAGCTGCATATAACAATACTAATTTAAACATAGCTTTTTGTTTTTTCTCCATTTGAGAATTAACTGATACACAAATATATGAGCATTTCTATTTCTGTATTTCCCACCTACCATTTGGTTCAAAACACCTATGTGATTTATTTTAGGATTTTATCTTCTATATACATCACTCAAAATTCTTTTCCATAACAGAGTTCAGACTTAGGAGTAAAACAGAAAAGTGAACTAAACAGTCGCTTGGAAGAGAAGACTAATCAGATGGCTGCTACTATCAAACAACTTGAACAAAGGTAAAAGTGCTATTTCTTTAGTGAAACTTTCGGTGGACTTTCAGTGCTGGAAGTGGAGAGAATGTGTTATGCATTTGGCAAACAGAAAGTATATGAAATTCTCCCAGCTTAACACCAGACATTGCTGGTAGAAAGAAAGCCAATTAGATTTTGTGTTTTCTAAGATTTCACTGGAAACATTTTAAGAAACATCAGGCTTTCATGACCATTTTGAACAGCAGAACTCTAACCCTCTCACTTAACCCCATTTCAGTGTCATGTGTTAGAGGAGAGGTACTTATAAGGATGAAAGGACTTTTAATATGTTTGTGATTCTGTTATTTTATTGTTCATCACTAAAGTTTTTGATACTTTGGTACGAGGTGATGTAGGGGTACTGGGGGCCCTTCTAATAATTTTAACCCCTTTCTCTCCTCTCTCTCATCTCCTTTTTCTCTCTACTTTCTCCTGAACGGTTCTATAGCTTCCACTGTCACCCCCGACCCACACTCTTAGATCTGTCCATCTCCAGCTCTGTCCTCCATCTGGAGACGAGTCTTGCGTTTTCATCCTCTGACCAGCTGTTTCCCACCACTACCTACAATTCAATCTGCCCAAAGCACATCCTCTCCCTATGCTATGCTTTTGTTTCTCTGTTTGTCCGAAACCACCATTTTCTTCCTGGTGACTCAGCAGCCAAGAGAAATGGCTGAGACTTCAAGATTGAATATGCCACGGCACCCATGGTCTTTCAGTGTTGCCAGCCTCTGTTGTCACTTTTTTTTTTTTTTTTTTTTTTGGGGAGGAAGATTAGCCCTGAGTTGACATCTGTTACCAATCCTCCTCTTTTGGCTGAGGAAGATTGGCCCTGGGCTAACATCCGTGCCCATCTTCCTCTACTTTATATGTGGGACGCCTGCCACGGCATGGCTTGATGAGTGGTGCAGAGGTCTGTGCCCGGGATCCGAACCTGTGAACCCTGGGCCGCCGATGCAGAGCACATGAACTTAATCACTATGCCACCGGGCCAGCCCCTGTTGTCACTTTTAATGCCCACTGATCACCCTTCTTGCCCTCGAGCAAAACTAAACTACTTACTGATCCCTGGACATGCTTCTCATTTTCCCATCCATTTCTTTCCTTATTCTTCTACCAATTAGAAATGCCCTTCCTCTTCCCACTCCCTTGTTCTTCAGATACATTTTTTACGTTCAGGCTCAAGTGCGACCTACCCAAAACTTCCTCTCATACTTCTTCCCAACTAAAAATAATCCTCCCATCTGTCCTTCTTGGAATTCCCATAGCCTTATATCCATACCTATCCGTACTGCTTTTAGCACTTCTAACTTTCTGCCTTACCTTACAGCCCTTTATATATGTATCTTACCTTCTGGTGAGAGTGTGAGCTCCTTGGGCTTAGTTAACTAATCTTTTAAGTTCCCTCATTGGATCTGTCATAGTACCTTGACCAAACAAGGCATTTGTTTAGTAGATGCATGAGTGAATGGATGAAAGGATGACTTCTTTTATTTAGATGATTCTTAACCAGGGAGGGTCCTGAGCAGCACTGCATATTAGTGTTAACTCAAAAGTCAATTGCAAATAATAAATAATCTTGAAACCTCTGGTTTGGCTGCTTTTAAATAAAAAGGTATTGGTCTATCCTAGAAAGTTATCTAAGTGCTTGCTCATAAGCAGTTGTATGATTTAACAAATCAATTTTAGTGTTCATAAATTGTGTTTTTGAAATGTGTCAAGTTTTTCAGTGGTTTTTTGACTTGGCATTTAAATCAGACAAGTAAAATAATGACATCTCTTCAAGTATTAAGCTGACTTATTCTCTTGCTGTTTTGTCTTTTCTATTTATCCATTTTCTCATTCCCCTTTCACTCCATTTTTATTTTTATTTTATTAACATAGTGAAAAGGATTTGGTGAAACAGGCAAAGACCTTAAATAGTGCAGCAAATAAACTGATCCCAAAACATCATTAGGGATTTTATAGTTGGTCACCTCGCAAGTCTGATATCACAACTTAATTGTAAAAGGAAGAAATCTGAAAGTTATTACATTTAAGCTCTGATTCTATATAAAATGTCACCAAAAATTGACTTTGAATTTGTTGGACTTTTAAAAAGACAGTTTGATATGTAGGTTGTGGGGTTTTTCCTTCTTCTTTATTTTCTCCCCAGAGTTAGAAAATTTAGTACAAGTTCTTAATTAAATGCCAAATAAACTTTGAGAAATTACTTCTGAGTTGACCAATAAATAAACACACCAATAAAAAAAAAGCCTAGGGAATTGAAGCTCTGTACATATATCATTGATGCCTTTACAACCCGGTCCCTGACAGTACCAGATTCTAGGTGCATTGTCTGTATCCGCGAGCCTGTTCTGCCATTGCAGTGTAATGAACTAGAGGTGACTACCGTATGGACTTGGACTCTTCTGAAGTAGTTCTGTGTCTCTTAGGCCATGACCCCTTTTCACTTTTGTTGTATAGGTTTAATCCCCAAGCCAAGGATAAGTACTTAGTATTTCAATACAGTTCTATTCTCAGTAACCAAGATTGCTTGCAACTTTTCTGCCTTAGTGACTTTGGAGCAAAAAAAACCAATAGCATCCTTACATTTCTTTAAAGTACATAGAGATAAAGTTAGTGATTAGGTAACTTATGATAACATAATAATGCGGAAGCTTGGGAAAACTCTCCTAATATTTGTCATCTTCTACCTCTGCCATTTTCCTGCAATTCCACTTCCTATTGAGGTAGCTCAGAGAGAATAATTTTAATGAAAACACTGCTCTCCTATAATAAAAATACACTACACATTTTTCACATCTATCCTGCTTTTCCTTTTGGAGTAAAGACGACAAGGTATAGACATGAGTGATGATTTCCTGCCTGTGATTCCTTGCTGGAAACATTTACTTAAGAGTTTCTGTTACTTTTTATTCAGATAGAGATTTGCTAAAGTTTCTAATTACAATCTAATTATTAGAAAACCATTTCAGAGTAGGAAATACGTAAATGATAAACTTACATTCTTTATTATTATTTAGCCTAAAAATAAAGATTCCCAGTAGATATCCACAAACAGTAATGAGTAGGGCTTCTTTTTCTAAGTGACCACAAGATCTAACCCTTTCTAGGATTTACATTGTAAATAATCCTATAAATACTTTGATTTTTTTAAATGACTTTTGATTTGGGGGGACAGGCTCTACATAAGCCTTCATTCCTTTGAAAAGTCTTGGCAAAATTTTGTTTTTTCTCTTTTCTCTCATTCTGGTATGATTTGCTTAAGTGGGGACAAAGATAACCCCTTTGCTTCCAGCTCTTGAAATTCTTTACCTTCGTCTTGGAAAAACTAGAATTAAGAGAGTAAGGTAGATTTCATCTGTGCTTTTATAGGTCCTTGCAGACTTGAACCAAAGTCAAGTCAAAGAGCATATGACCAACCTCATGGAAGATCCTGTGCTCTTGAACTTATTTTAGTTCTTATAATTTTGCACCTATTCTTATCCTCCTCAACCTTTTGTGATGATGAGTTGCCTTTTTTATGAGCACTTCAAAGGGGTGCTCAAACACGAAAATAAAACATTTTAAAGACTACACATAGCACGCTTTCAAATTCTATTATATAGAGCCCCAGATGTTTTACCTTTTAGAACATGCTTTTTTATAGGTGCAAAGTTATAGGATATGTAGAAGAAGACATTCATCAGAATCTTCCAGAGAATATGGTCGAGAATCTTATGCAAGCCTAGTGCTGAATTGTTTGTCCCCTTAGTAGGAATGGAAAAGGAAAGAGATGGCCAAACTCTAGCAAAGGCTTTTCCTTATATAATAACCTGATGCCTGGTAAGGGTTGATGTATAATGTCCAATGATTTACTATAATTTGTGGTTTAGGGAAGGGACCAGGAAAATGTTCTAGTTCCACATATAAGAAGGTAGTTGCCCGTTTGCAAGTTGCAGTTATGTGTGTAAAACAGAAATACAAGGTACCAAACCTATTAGGAAATAAAAACAAACAGAAAAGTGGATTTAATTACTGTGTACTTGAGGTTGGCTTTGGATATGGATTTTCTAAAAAGTGATGTTTTATTGTTGATCATCTAATGGCTGTAAACTGTAGTACTAGAATAAAAAAAAAATGGAAAATCAACTTTTCCTCTGCCTGGTTCACCTTCATCTTGCTTTTCTTTAGAATTTGTTTCTTCTCCATCTTTTTCCCCCCATAATTTCTTCCCCTGTGTCCTACAAAGTTTTTTTTCCCCTCTCTCTGTCTCCTCTCTCCTTGCCTTCTTCCTTGGGTTGTTTTATTTTGTGTTGTGAACTTGGTCTTCCTCCCCCCCCCCCCCCCCGGCTTTTGTTTTTTATCACAAGTTCATATGGCTCACATCCAGATTGCGCCAGGCTGAGCGAAGCCGCCAGTCTGCTGAGTTGGACAACCGGCTCTTCAAGCAGGACTTCGGAGACAAGATCAACAGCCTGCAGCTGGAAGTGGAGGAGCTCACCAGGCAGCGGTGAAAAGAGGGCGGCTTGAGCTGACGGGGTGGTCGTGGCTAATTCTAAGGCCAGGCAGCAAGAGAACGGGGTCTCATGATCCAGCCATCTCCATTCTGTCTTTGCAATGTCCTTTCCCTGGAATTAGAATTCAGAAAGTTTCACATACATCAGCATTCCCAAAATCTTATCAACATCCTTTGCGATCAAAGAATTAGGAAATTAGAACCCAAGGTCCCAGACAAATATGAAGGAGTAAGAGAATTAATAGCCAACATAACACTAATAATAACAGTATTTGCTGAATTCTTATTGTGGGCCACATACTCTGCTAAGTACCTCACACGCATTCTCTCCTAACATCTTCCCATCAACCTTATTAGTAGGTGATCTTATTACCCCCACTTTCAGATGAAGTTAAAGCTTAAAGGGGTTAAATCTGCCCACATTCACAGTAAAGCTAATAAATAGCAACACTCCAATTTAAAAGCCTGTCTCTAAGTCCTTAACCAGTCTTCTGTATTGTCTCTCAAATGAGACTCGATTCTGTAATGAAGCCACTGACTTCAGACGAAGAGACCTTTGTTGTTGGATAAAAAAGCACATGGCTGTTAGGGAAACTAGTGGTCGAGGGTGTAACTGGGGATTGAACTCCTAACTGTAGAGAGACTGGCTGATGAATATGGAATGAGACTACAGTGTCGGTGCTTTCATACTCTTATCTTGCTGCAAATTTGTGAATACTGTCTCTCAGGTAAAGTAAACCCTACTGATGGTCATTCAGTTGACCACCACTCTTCATTAACAGTTAATAGTAAATATTGATATTCAGAGTGGTGATCTGCAGGCACTGGGAGGCCCTAAAATACATTCTTAATCATCCAAGAAAGATGAAACATGTTGTATATATTTTACTGTTACTGGTTTTATTGTATTTTAGTACTTTAAAACCTGGTTGTCCATATGTATCTGGTAACTTTTTATTAATTAAGGATTAGAAGTTAGTTACTGAACTTTAAGAAGAATACTTCAGAGAATATGAGTACAGAAATCCAAATTTTCATCCTTTTCCTCTCCCACCTATCTCAGGAACCAGCTTGAGTTAGAACTAAAACAGGAAAGAGAAAGAAAGTTACAGAACAACAGGAGCATCCCAGGAAAGGGTTCTCAGAAGGCAGAACCCAAAACGGTAATATTTGTTGTTCCCTTGTTCATTTACTTAATTTTTAGGGGCTGCCGTGATGGGCCGGACAGTTTTCTCTCATGGAACACATGCGTAGTTGCTGTGGCCTTGAGTATGGAGACAGCAGGCTGGAGAAGGAGTGAGCACAGGAAAGCTCGATTCTGAGTCTACCTCTAGGACATTCCCTCTAACTTGATTTCATTTGGAAAAGGGAATTAATAACCACAATTTCCAGTGACCCTCTTATCCCTTTCAATTCGTTAAGTAAAATTATATTAGTATCTTAACAAAAATTTGTGTTTCTTGGACTTCTGCTGGCTAATGTTTTTTACTAATATGGTATAGTAATCTCTCTCCAACCCTGAATTCCCCTTTAATAGAATTGTCTTAAAGGTGGATTTGCTTCTGTACACCTTTTTCAAAATCTTGAGGATTTCAGTTTTAGAATACTCAAGGTACTTCTCTTGGGAAAATTAGAAAAAGAGGGAACTAGGCTTTGGGAAGGGAAAGTAATGTCGAGTGGTTTAAAGAGCAGGAGTAGAAGTTTCTGCAGAGCAGTCTTAGGAGAGAGACGTCCAGCACCTGTATTGGTGGAGGGAGCTGAAATTGGGTAAGATCAGCTCTGGGACCCAGGAAACAGGAGCCAGCCTCTTCAAATAATAAAATCAGAAAATCATGGAATACTTTTTCTGTCAAAGACAAACACTGAAAAAATTACTTGCGTTGTATATATATTATATATAACAAAGCAGGACAAATTTATAAGCTTATTTAAAATTCTAGAGAGTGAACTGCTAATTTGCTGGAGATTAGAAAAGAATGGTAAATGGAAATTTATTATATAGTACCCATTACTACTAATTTAAAGTGTGCAAAGTACCACTCTATTGTGTCTGTCTTTATTATTTTGGTTTAGTGAACATAAAATCTACTTATAAGGACTTTACTTACAGAGATTTACTTAAACTCTTGGCCTATCTTATCCTGTTGTTTCCAGTGAGGCCTTAGATTTCTTAATCTTGAATTGCCCTGCAGTAGGGTTTCCAGGAGGATAAAGATTGCATTGACCTCCCTTGCTTGATACTTGAGTGGTCTAAGAACATGCATTCTGCTTTTGGAGGCTGATGGGCAGCAGTTCAAGGCAGGCAGCAGTGTGTGTACCACAGCAAGAATTTGTCCCTAAAAACTGCCCAGGCAGGTCTTAAAAGCACTGGCAGAAATGCAGTTTAGAACTTTACATTCGTCCTTCAGAGAGGAAAACTCCTCGAACTGTAGAGGCTCTAGAAGTTGCCGTGGCATTGAGGCATCTGCTTGACTGAGTGTCCAGAGGATTTGATTATACAGTCTGCTGGATATGGCCGTGCTTGGTTTTACCATTTTTCCAGAGCTCAGCTGGGAAATAATATATATATATATATTTTTTTTCTCTTAAGAAGTAACTGATAACTTGATACCTACTTTGCAAGTAAATAGGATACATTCTGAATTTCATTTGAATATCAAGAATTAAAGAAAATATCTATTCTGAAAACCATTGTTGCAAACTCTATCAGAATAATTTGTTAAAAAACTACTTAGAGCAAAAGAATGAGGAAAAACAAGTTGACAGTTAAATTCCTTCCATAATAAAAAAGCTGCTTAACTTTATACCCAACCTAGGAGGATACAGAAGAAAATGTCTGCAACATCATCATTGTTTAGCATTCTGAATATTGAATAAATTGGGCTGTTTTCTTTTGGCAGGATGGGAAGCACAAAATTCAAGAGGAAAATGTTAAGCTAAAAAAGCCCCTGGAAGAAAGCCACAGGTGTTTGTTAATAAAGTCTTAACTAAGATATAAAGTTATTTTGGGGTGGTGGGAAAGTGGGAGCTTTTGATATACATTGGCTATGACACAGACCAGACACTGCCTTGTAATATTAATATTTCAGAAAGACATTTTGAAGGGAGAGTAAATAATAATAAACTAGATAAGACATATTAAATCAAACCCATTTAGTCCATTACACAAGAAAGAAGGGTGATCAAGCTGTCTTCTTGACTCTTCCCTGGTTAATCCCCAAACTCAAATGATGTCTAATCTTTACTGGATTGGCATCACAAGGGAATGAAGCACAAGTCATAGCATTTCTTAGGTTCTTAAATGTACTTGAGTATGACTTGTTTCTACCTGTGTGCTTAGTGACAGGCAGGTATGTTTCAATAAATACTCTAATTTCCTTTATTTCCTTTCTCTTAAGAGTCTCAAACACCTTAACTCTATTACTTTTTCTTAACTCTTCATCTGATTTGCTCAGTGTGAAGAGCATAAGATCATTTCAAGGAAGTTGACTTTTAACAATTATTTTAGTAGGTAGAAATATAACAAAATATTACATCATGCCACTGCAGTAAAAAACAAAGGAGGTCCCAAGTATATGACATTCTGGAAAAAGCAAAACTGTGGAGACAGTGGTTGCCAGGGGTCAGAGAATATGGACGGATGAATAGCCAGAGCACAGAGGATTTTTAGGGCAATGAAAATACTCTGTACGATACTGTAATGATAGATACATGTCATTATACATTTGTTCAAACCCATAGAAGGTACAACACCAAGAGTGAACCCTAAGGTAAACTATGGACTTCGACTAATTATGATGTGTCATTGGCGGTTCATCAATTCTAACCTCATCGTGTACCACTCTGGTATGGAATGTTGATATTGGGAGAAGGTGGGAGGGCAGACAGAGTGTATGGGAAATCTCTACTTTCTGCTCAGTTTTGCTGTGAACCTAAAACTGCTCTAAAGAGTCAGGTCTACTATAACACCCTTCCTCAGTAACAAGGAAGGATACCACAGATGGGTTTTTAGAGAACTGTACAGTGTACATTCTTGGCAACTGTCCCTGTCCAGGCTTTGATGCCTTAAGAATGAGGTAGTGTGTCATCTGGAGCAAAAGCAGCTGCTGGAGGAGATCAGTCCCACAGTCCAACAGTAGGCTGCTCATGCAGGTACTCAGCCTAAACGGCCCTTCCTTGCCTCCAAGGCCAGAATGATTCCAAAGCCTTGAAGTTTACTCCCAAAGAGAGTATGGTCTGATCCAGGACCAACCTTAAACTACAGCCCATCCCAGCCCATCCAACACTATAGATCAACATGGGCCACAGAAGGGAACTAGAAAGACTGTAAAATTAACCACGGCTTAGAAATGCCTGTCAGGGTCAGCCTCCTCCAGACTAAAATCCAGTCATTTACAATCAGGAGTGTCTTACATGCCAACGTAAGACAATACTACATTACATCTGTACTGTACTCTGCAGCTTAAAAAGCATGTTCCACGTTCATTATCTCCTTACAAATTTAATTCATTTAATCGTCTATTTCTACTTTATGGATGAGAAAACTGAAAAGCACTGAGAGGGTAGGCGGCACACCCAAGTTGCCTTTACTTATCATGTCTTCTGTTTTTAAGTCCTTTGTCTCTGCACTACA